AGCAGGCTCCGAGAATGCACGACGGATGGGCCTGATTCTGCGAGGTGTGCGCCCCACCAGCAGGGCGCGGTCCTCCGACTAGCTTACTTGCTAATCCGCATGGCGCCCGCTGTCCTGGTCGGTGTGCACTGCGTGCTGCACGCAAGCCGTCCCCAGTAACAGAAAACCGCAGGCACACATTTACACACACGCACACACGTACGCGCACACACACGCGCACACACACACGCACACACGCACACACACGCAAGCACGCACGTATGCAGTCACGCACGCAACCACGCATGCGACGCACACGCACAAACACACACGCACACACACACACGCGCGCACACACAAACACACACAAATACACACAACCACACACAACCACACACAAACACACACACAAACACAGAAACACACAGAAACACACACAAACAAAAACACACACACAAACACACACACACAACAACACACACACAAGCACACACAAACACACACACAAACACACACAACCACACACACAAACACACACACACAACACACAGCACACAGCACACACACACATCACACAACACACACACAAACACACACAACCACACACAAACACACACACACAACACACAACACACACAACACACAGCACACAGCACACACACATCACACAACACACACAACACACACAACACACAACACACACAACACACACCACACACACAACACACGACACGCACAACACACAACACACACACCACACACACAACACACACAACACACAAGACGCACAAGCCACACACTACACAAAGGACACACAAGACACACAAAACACACACGACACACAAGACACACAAGACACACATGACACACAAGACACACAAAACACACAAGACACACACGACACACAAGACACACAAGACACACACCACCCACAAAACACAACACACACAACACACAACACACAACACACACAACACACAACCCACAACACACCACACACACACGCGCACACGCACGCACCCGCAAGCACGCACGTACGCACTCACGCACGCAACCACGCATGCGACGCACACGCACAAACACACACGCACACACACACGCGCGCGCACACACAAACACACACAAATACACACAACCACACACAACCGCACACAAACACAGAAACACACACAAACACACACACAAACAAACCACACACAAACACGCACACACACAAACACACACAAACACACACAAACACACACACACAACAACACACACAAACACACACACACAAACACACACACAAACACACACAACCACACACACAAACACACAAACACACACACACAACACACACACAACACACAACACACAGCACACAGCACACACACACACATCACACAACACACACAACGCACACAACACGCACAACACACAACACACACAACACACACACCACACACACAACACACGACACGCACAACACACTCACCACACACACCACACACACCACACACACAACACACAACACACACAACACGCACACAACACACACACACACCACACACAAAACACACAATACACACAAGACGCACAAGCCACACACTACACACACGACACACACGACACACACGACACACACGACACACAAGACGCACAAGACACACAAGACACACAAGACACACAAGACACACAAGACACACACGACACACACGACACACAATACACACACCACCCACAACACACAACACATACAACACACAACACACAACACACAACACACAACACACCACACACACACACACACGCACACACGCACACACACGCAAGCACGCACGTACGCACTCACGCACGCAACCACGCATGCGACGCACACGCACAAACACACGCGCACACACACACACGCGCGCACACACAAACACACACACATACACACAACCACACACAACCACACACAAACACACACAAACACAGAAACACACACACAAACAAAAACACACACACACACAAACACGCACACAAACACACACACACACACAAACACAAACAAAAACACACACAACCACACACAAACACACACAAACACGCACAACAACACACACAACCACACACAAACACACACAACCACACACACGCAACCACACACAAACACACACACATACAAACACACAAACACACACAAACCACACACAACACACCCACACACACAACACACACAACACAAAGCACACAGCACACACACACATCACACAACACACACAACACACACAACACACACAACACACCCCCACACACAACACACACCACACACACAACACACGACACGCACAACACACAACACACACACCACACACACACCACACACACCACACAACACACACCACACACACAACACGCACACCACACACACACCACACACAAAACACACAATACACACAAGACGCACAAGCCACACACTACACACACGACACACAAGACACACAGGACACACAGGACACACAAGACGCTCAAGACACACAAGACACACAAGACACACAAGACACACACGACACACACGACACACATGACACACAAGACACACACCACCCACAACACACAACACACAACACACACAACGCACAACACACAACGCACAACGCACAACACACCACGCACAACACGCACACACACCACACACACCACCCACACCACGCACACCACACACACCACACACCCCACACACACCCCACACACGACACGCACACATACCACGCACAGCACCCACAACACACACACAGCACACACATCACACACAACACACACGCAACACACACAACACAGTTCACGCAGCACACACAACACACACAGCACACAAAACACACACAAACAACCCACAGCACACACAACACACACAACACACACAACACACACAACACACACAGCACACACAGCACACACAACACACACAACACACACAACACACACCCCACACCCCCCCCCACACACACACACACACACCACACACAACACACACGACACACACAACACACACACCACACACACCACACACACCACACACACATACCACACATACCACACACACACCACACACACACCACACACCACACACACAACACACACACACAACACACAACACACACTTGAATAGTGCCAGAGGCACGCCAGCTTTGTCACATCGTGGGTCCACGCACCTACGCCCTCCCCCTTTTTTCCCCCGGACCCCTCCCGCCTCCTCTCCCCTCCTCTCTCTCCTAAGCATTCCCCGTCATCACCAGGAGATTCGCGCCGTCTGTCCAACTGGCGCCTCGCTCGTACCACCCCGATGATATCAAACGGAAGGGCTGGCATGGATGCCCCGGGGGGATGCACCGAATCGGGGTTAAAACTGAGGCGAGCTTCCGGGCCGAAAAATGCCCGGTGCTTATGACGACACACACACACCCATCGGTCACCAGGAGATTCGCGCCGTCGGTCCAAATGGCGCCTCGCTCTCGTGTGCTTCTGACATCCTGCTCCTGCCCTCAACAACATGCCACACACACACACACGCGCGCGCGCGCTCCTACCCCCCCCTTCCCCCGCCCTCCCCCGGCCCTAACTCAACCCCACCTTCCCCGTTGCCCCGACATCCCCTTCTTAAGCCAAGTCTTTGAATCGAAGTCTTAGTGGCTGGCGCTGCCGGCGGCCACTGCGCCGCCCCCCACGCACCACCGGTTGAGCAGGGGCTGCCTGGGTGGGTCGTGGCAACTCGAAGTCTAAAATGAAGTCGAAGTGAAGTCCTCACGAAGTCTGCCATGAAGTCTTTACTGAAGTCAGAATGAAGTCAACGAAGTCTGAATTAAGTCAATGAAGTCTGAACTAAGTCAATGAAGTCAATGAAGTCGGATGCAAGATCTTCACTTCCTTTTTCTTTTTCTATCGCCGGTATTCTGCTTCGTGAACAGCAGGCCGGCTTCTTTCTCCGCGGCACTCAGCGCCCGCGGCCCCGGAGGCACGAATCCGTGGGACAGGGGAGCATCGGCATAGCATCGGCATGATCCCGCCAGCTTTCTGTTACCATTTGTCCCCCCCCCCCCGCGTGCCGCCAGCTTTCTGTTACCATTTGTCCCCCCCCCCTTCCGCTTACTGCACATTCGGTGGAAAAATCCAGCCGGACACTTTACTGCAAGTGCGTCTGTAGAGTAAGGCACAAACGGTGGCTGTAAGTGAGGAATAGAACGCCTCTCAAATGCAACCGTTTTTTCCGCCACTGCTTGAGGAAACAACAAGAGAGCAGCGATAGCGGGCACAAACTGCTACCTAGACCCAGCGAGTGCGATGCGCGGACGTGCATTTTTGGGTGTACCGGTCCATCCGTGCTTCACGCTCGGGCGCGCGCAAGATTAATAAATCCTCTGGTGTGCCTGCCGCCCTGTGCACAATGTCTGCATGTTACTTAAGACCGGACTTTCTCACCAAGCCATGGCGTGTTCTTCCAAGCAGTGGCGAAAACTACTTCGTAACATGCTGCGCCGTGCGATGCAACACACTGGAAGCAAAACGGTAGAGCTGCCCCTTGGGAGCAGGGGTTGCCTCTCACACACACACAAACAACACACACACACACGCACACGCATAGCCATATAGCTGCTGCCACTGCAGCGGACCATCCCGCGGGTGGGGGGTCAACACTTTTTCCTCTCTCTGCTCACCCCTATTCCATCACAGTTCACATATTCATCCTATCCCCTTCGCTGATTCTGTCCTCTGTCCGCTGCGTGGCCGGCGTGCGACGGCACGGCAGGGGCCAGTGCCACAGGGACCGCCCCACGACTGTGAAGCAGAGAAACCAAATACACTTTGTCGCAAACTTGTATCTGCAAGCGGGTGCAGAAGGACAATTTCGTTAACAACGGAAACTTCCTGTGGGAAGGGTTCCAGGCGAGACGGAGGAGGAGCAGGAGGTAGTGAAGGAAGGTTGTGGTAGCACACTTGGTACGGAAACGCAGCCTCGCAGCACCCTCCCCCCCCCCCGCCCCCCACTTGGCTCCCCAACCCTGCTGTTCCATAATGCGCGGTTCTCTCGTGAGTGTTGCGGTCGCCGCTTTTCCCAACCGTTTTCTCCTCCCCACCCTTCCTGCGTGGCAACAGCATTGGCCGCGGGACACAGAAGACCGCTGGGGGGATGAGGAAGGAGAAGGGCGATATTTCACAAGCCATCATGCAAGCGCACGATCTCCGCCAAATCCCCCCTACGAGCAGCCCGGGCCAGACTCTCGCCCACCTTTCCTAATGCCTGCGGGTACCGCTTTCGAATTACTGAGACGGCCCGCGCCACCTCCTCGGACCGATGCCCCAGCGCCACATACACCCCTACGAGCTGCACCGCCGCCTTTTGTGCGCGAGGAACCGGGAAACTCAGGCGCACGGCTTGGTGTAATCTCCCCAACAACCCTGCTACCTTCACTGATTGGCTCCCCCCAGACAACGAGCTTCGGTACCGCCACCGGTGCTGTTCTGGAAAACTTCCCACGCCTCCCCGCTTGGCAATCCCGTCGAAACCCTCCACAATGTACTGCGTTTCCACGGTGGTCCCTTCGGTCATGATCTTGACCCCTACGAAATCGTTGGCTGGCTCCTTCTCAAGAGCCACAGGGGGCAAATATAACTCGCTATCCAGCAGTGAAGAAGGAACCAACACCACGCCAGACCGGTTCCTGAATCCCAACACCAGCCTGTTGTCGACGTACCGCAACGCCATCCACATGTCCTGACACCGCAAAACCCGCCCAAGCGCCGACCTGATCCAATCCCGTTCCCTCTGCATCACTGAGATCGTGCACCACGCCGGCGACAGTGGAGATCCGATGAACGCCCCCCGAATCTGGCGCACCACCTCACCAGCGCACAGAAACACCGACGCTTCCTGTGCGTGACGGAGCACCGGAATCACGAACTTCACAGGAATGTGAACGCCATCTGGATCGCGAACCAAGCCGCACACCGTCTTCCGCTTAGGGTCTTTAGGGAACACCGTAAACACCAAATTCTTTTCATCCTTCAAAGTTCCGGCCCGGCCATCCACGAACTCCCGCAGCAAGGATTCCACGTCGGCAATCAGCCAGTCTTGTGGGACCGAAGGGAAAAAACCTTTCAAATCTTCATTCCAAAAAACAACTTCCCAATCGTCGGCTCCTCGTGGAAACTGCTGCCGCCACCCCCGCAGTCGCCCGTTGTATTGTCGAAGTTCACTTACTGCCCCGGCGGTTGTGGGTGCATCGAACGTGCCCTGACCCATCACCTCAGCCCCCACGTCTTTCAAAACCCTGCCGACGACCTGATGGAGTTTTTTGAGCGGGTGCTTGAGAACTCAATCAGGCACCTGGCCGTGGTGAACCCCTTCTTGGCTTTCGGAATTCAGTGGCACCCGGGCAGGCTGTCGCTCTTCGACCTGGCGAACGCCCAACGGCAGGCAGTGCGGAACCCCCGTGGTGCAAACGATTCAACGTGTCGCACGGCCTCTGCTGGTGTAGTTCTTTCGGCTCTGAAGACCTCCCCGGAACCAAAAAACGTATCAATAAAAAGCGAACGGTACAAGTGAGGGCAATACCCAAACGAGTCTTGTTTACTGATGATCTTCGCAATGCCACACTAAATCCCCATCTGTTTTTTTGACCTCCTGCACGCCGTCCTCGGAGATCGCATCGGCAGGACAAGATAACTCATGCTTCGCCCATTGGTTTTTGGCCCATTCGTCAACTAATTGTCCCAAACCTTCCTGGCCCCCCCCAGGGGGCCATGCTGATGGCATTGTTGTTCCAGAACTCAATGACGGCCTGGCGTGCGTGCCGTCGGAATGCCGATCTCCCAGGGAAAACTGTCTCCTTGGAGTTGGCCCTGGCAACTGCTGCTCCAGCCGCCGATAACCCTGGCAACAAATACCCTCGAACCGCCACGTGCCCTCCAGCGGACCACGCCTCCCCTGGCAGAGCGCCACGGTACTTCGGGCAGACGCACTCCACGCTCCCCACGGTGTCCCGCCTCAAACCCCGAGTAAATTGTCGAAAACTCCAAAGCTTATACTGGATACTTGGCCATTTGGCCTCGCAAACGCCCACCCTCGGCACATGCAGCGGCAAAACGGCATCCCGGTACCCACCCAAAATACCTTTCACGAACTGGCGGGCGTCGTCTTTGAAGCTCCCGTGCGCTAGCGCTCCTATCTTCAGCGGCCTGGACGGCTTCGGCACGGACAAGCCCCGGAATCCCATGGCATCCCCAATCTTCTTCCTCGCCCTCCCACGCCACGGCTCATCCAGATAAGTAGTAGACCTGTGCAACAGATGCAACTCTACCACGGAAATACTGTGAGACCGAATCCTCTTCTCAATTTCAAATATGCGAACGTGTAGCTGGAAAAGATTACCCCAACTCTCTTGAAACGCGTGGCCCAATTACGATGCCACTGGGACCGGCTACTTGCAAAGAGGCCGATCAAACTCCGCCCCCACACCCACAAGACCGCCCTAGCCGCCTTCCCAACCTCACCGGGCCTAGCGGGGTTCTGCCGCAAACCCCGGTAAAGCAGAGAACAAAACTGCCAATCATCCTATGAATGTGGACCCCCCTCACTTGCCCTACTCGGCAGACTCACCTCTCCTACGGCCCTGCGCTCATTACGCTTCCCCTCCGCTCACTCCGCGCACACTACGGCCGCGGCCAGCAGGCGCAGCATGTGTCCATAATCAGCCTTTCCGTTCCCCCCGAACGTCTTGGGAGGTACCCCCCACTCCACCAGCAGCTCCTCCACCCGGTCGTGCAACGTAGCCTCTTCGATGTGGCTTTTTGCCCAGCTTTTGAACTTCTCTTGAAGCTTTTTGCCTAACTCCTCAGCCTTCCCCGCTTTTTCCCCCTCGAGCTGCAGCCCTTTGATCTTCCCGTCCACGTGCGCCTTCTTGAAGTTCAACACTCCGGCGGCCCTCAGCACTTTCTGCTTCGACCCTCGCGCGTACGGCAGCAGCTCTTGGTCAAGGTCGAGTGTTTCTTCCGGCTCTTCCTCGTCCTCTTCATCATCTTCCCCTTCGCCACCGACCTCCCCCTTCTTCCCTTTCTTACTGCCTTTCTTCAGCCTCGCATTTTCCTCCTCCAGCTTCCCTAGCTTCGCCTTCAGTTTTTCTAACTGGCCCTCCGCAGCGCCCTCACCGAAACCCTGCCTCTCCCACAACATTTTGAGGATACCTTTGGCCAGGTCGGTGGCCACCTCCCGCTTCTACCCCTTCTCATCGGTTTTCAGACCCTTCTCCTTGGCGACCCGGGCGAAAAGGCCCTCCAAGTTCATCTGAATCGGGGCAGCGCGGCACGGATTTCGAAGAGCAGAGAATTGACCAACGCATGCTCAAACGAGTTCCGGCACGCCTCAGATATCACGAACTTACCATTGGATACCAACCTCATGGCGTAGTCGTTTTCTTTCTTGTAAAGGTAATCGACTAGCTTCACCTCTAAAGGATCAGTCAAAGCCGTTCCCCTTTCATCAGACCACTTTGTTTTTGGGATGCTTTTGGGAATCTTCATGCCGTACTGTTCAGTGACGTCATGGTGGGTTTCATCTGGCACCAAGACCGTCTCGCGGCCCCGCTCTCCCTGCCGCGATGCCCCCGCGGCGGCACCTTCATCCCTGGCTCCTCCCTTCTCCTTCTTCTGCGCGCCCTCCACAGACTCTCGATCCTTAGCCTTCGGCGTCCTCGACCTCCTTGCACTTCGGCTCCTCTTCCTCTCTTTCCTTCTCGCTGGTGTGGACGTGGCGCCCCGTGACGGCGCCTGCTTCCTTTCCTTCCTGTCGTCCGTGTCTGATGTCTTCTTTCTTGCACCCGGTGGACTCGAAGTCTGCGGAGCCCGGCCTCGATTCCGATCCTTTTCCTTCTCCTTCTTCTCCCTGCCCGTCTTCCCTCCTTTTGTCTTCCTGGCCAGCGGACTCCCACGGTCCCTTTCCTCCTTCGCTCTACCACGCTGTGCCTCCCCCTCTGTCGACTTCACGGGCAGGTGCGCCGAACGCCCACCCCATTTTCGACTCCTGGCCGCTGGAGTTCTGGATCTTTCCTTCCGGTCCGCCGCACGAGCTTTCCTTGAACTCCCCCTCGACCTCCTGGCTTTCGAAGGCGATCTCGACCTCGACTTGCCCCTGGACCTCGACCTCGCGCCGCACCGGCGCCTTTCATCACTCCTCTCCTCCTCGCGCCCGCGCCCGAGCGACCTCCTCTGGCGCTCACCTGCCTGCCTGTCCCTGGCGCCGTCACCGGCGATTGCGGTCTGGCTGCGGCGCAACTCTTCGGCAGGAGGCCACCCTTTCCCGTTGCCGCCGAAACCCGTCTTCCCCGCCCCAGGCCATTTGCCGCCTTTTACCCGGGCCCATGCCGAAGGTTGCCAAGAAGGCACGCCCGCTCCCATTCCTGGCCGTGGCGCAGGCAAGCCCGGCACTGCACTGCCTTTTCCATGGTACTGCCACTGGTTCCCCTTCCTCCGAGGTGCGACGACCACTCCATGGCTCAAGGAGTTCTCGGGGCCCCCGCCTGCTAGCAACCAGAGCCCGAACGCCTATGGAAAACGCGAAGATCATGAACCCTACCCCCGACTCCCGAGCCCGCCCGCCGGCCGACGACCCGAGAACAACACGAAACTCTACCCCTCAAGCGCCGAAGAACTTAAGCATCGCCACCCGACCTCTCTCCTCGGCTTCCCCGCCTGAGCCCCGACGGTCCTTCCTGACGACCCTGCCTCCTCCCGTGGCCCACTCCCTGTCCCCCTTCCTCCCTTCCCACCCCCGACTCCCTCCACCCGCGCCCTGGGCCCACTCTCCGCGGACAGTCACGAGTGAACTACATCGGGATGCAGATGTCGGGGCCTCGTGGGATCACTCTAGTTACGTATTGGTCAACAATGCGTAGAACAAGTCTGTGAATTCAAGTCAATCCCAGGGATCACAAGGATCGGCCGCCAAAGCGGATCTTGGGCCCTCGTGGGTGTTGCGAGGGAGGGCCCCGGGCCCCCGCGAACGGGGGTCCTTACGCACTTGAATAGTGCCAGAGCCACACCAGCTTTGTCACATCGTGGGTCCACGCACCCACGCCCTCCCCCTTTTTTCCCCGGGACCCCTCCCGCCTCCTCTCCCCTCCTCTCTCTCCCAAGCATTCCCCGTCATCGCCAGGATATTCGCGCCGTCTGTCCAACTGGCGCCTCACTCATACCACCCCGATGATATCAAGCGGAAGGGCTGGCATGGATGCCCCCGGGGGATGCACCGAATTGGGGTTAAAACTGAGGCGGGCTTCGGGGCCGAAAAATGCCCGGTGCTTATGAGGACACGCACACACACACCCATCGGTCACCAGGAGATTCGCGGCGTCGGTCCAAATTGCGCCTCGCTCTCGTGTGCTTCTGACATCCTGCTCCTGCCCTCAACAACATGCCACACACACACGCGCGCGCGCTCCTGCCCCCCCTTCCCCCGCCCTCCCCCGGCCCTAACTCAGACCCACCTTCCCCGTTGCCCCGACATCCCCTTCTTAAGCCAAGTCTTTGAATCGAAGTCTTAGTACCTGGCGCTGCCGGCGGCCATTGCGCCGCCCCCCACGCACCACCGGTTGAGCAGGGGCTGCCCGGGTGGGTCGTGGCAACTCGAAGTCTAAAATGAAGTCGAAGTGAAGTCCTCACGAAGTCTGCCATGAAGTCTTTACTGAAGTCAGAATGAAGTCAACGAAGTCTGAATTAAGTCAATGAAGTCTGAACTAAGTCAATGAAGTCAATGAAGTCGGATGCAGGATCTTCACTTCCTTTTTCTTTTTCTATCGCCGGTATTCTGCTTCGTGAACAGCAGGCCGGCTTCTTTCTCCGCGGCACTCAGCGCCCGCGGCCCCGGAGGCACGAATCCGTGGGACAGGGGAGCATCGGCATAGCATCGGCATGATCCCGCCAGCTTTCTGTTACCATTTGTCCCCCCCCCCCCGCGTGCCGCCAGCTTTCTGTTACCATTTGTCCCCCCCCCCTTCCGCTTACTGCACATTCGGTGGAAAAATCCAGCCGGACACTTTACTGCAAGTGCGTCTGTAGAGTAAGGCACAAACGGTGGCTGTAAGTGAGGAATAGAACGCCTCTCAAATGCAACCGTTTTTTCCGCCACTGCTTGAGGAAACAACAAGAGAGCAGCGATAGCGGGCACAAACTGCTACCTAGACCCAGCGAGTGCGATGCGCGGACGTGCATTTTTGGGTGTACCGGTCCATCCGTGCTTCACGCTCGGGCGCGCGCAAGATTAATAAATCCTCTGGTGTGCCTGCCGCCCTGTGCACAATGTCTGCATGTTACTTAAGACCGGACTTTCTCACCAAGCCATGGCGTGTTCTCCCAAACAGTGGCGAAAACTACTTCGTAACATGCTGCGCCGTGCGATGCAACACACTGGAAGCAAAACGGTAGAGCTGCCCCTTGGGAACAGGGGTTGCCTTTCACACACACACACACAAACAACACACACACACACACGCACACGCACACGCACACACACACGCACACGCACACACACCCTCACCCACGTACCCCCGTACCCCCGTACCCCTGTACCCCCGTACCCCCGTACCCCCGTACCCCCGTACCCCCGTTTTTTTTTCTTTTTTTACCCCCGTTTACCCCAGTACCCCCGTACCCCGGTTACCACCGTACCCCGTGCCCCCGGCACACCCCCTCTCTCTTCCCCCCCCCCCCCTCCCCCCCCACCCCCATCCTTGTTCCTTATTCTTCTATATCCCCACCTACCTCGTATTCCGGCCGATAGCGACCCAATCCGGGACCTCCCATCCGGACTGTAAAAAATCAATACAAAGTTGCAGTTTTTCTTCTCGACATTGTCTTTCTTGTCGTCGACGATGCGAAAAACGTGGCACGAATGGGACGCGGCGCACATCGCGCGCGGCAGTCAATCTGGGCCCGCCCATCCAGACTGTAGAATATCAATACAAAGTCTTCGTTTTTTCCTCTCAACATGGCCTGCCTTGTCGCCGACGGTGCGAAATATGCGGCAATGGTGGGACGCGGCGCACATATGGGACGCGGCGCGCATCGCGCGCGGCCGTCAATCCGGGCCCGCCCATCCTGACTGTAAAAATTAAATTCAATACAAAGTTTCAATTTTTTCCGGTCAGCATGGCCTGCCTTGTCGCCGACGGTGCGAAATATGTGGCAGGAACGGGACGCGGCGCACATCGCGCGCGGACGTCCATGCGGTCTGCGGGCCCTCCCAATCTGACGGAAAAAAAAACAATACAGAGTTGCCGTTTTTCCTTTCATCATGGCCTGTCATGTCGTCGACGATGCGAAATGCGTGGCGGGAGTGGGACGCGGCGCACACCCCGCGCGGACGTCAATGCGGTGTCCTGGGGTATCCTCCACTCGCACTGAAATGCCCACGCAGCCCCCAGTTGTAACATCACTGTTTC